AGCAGAGACGAACCCGGACGAGGCTTTGCCGAAGGGCAAGGTTTTCGTCCGGGGAGGTAGACAGGGCCTGAACCCGTCTAATCGGCTTCAAAGGCTATTTTTTTAAATGAGCCTACGGGCTCGGAGAAACCCACAATAAAACCGGCCTTGTGCCATATTCGTTTCCCGTGGGTGAAATGATAAATACTCAAAGAAGTTCTTAGCTGATTTCCGACGTCTGTCGAACTCTCTGCGTTAGCAGAGAGGAACCCGGACGAGGCTTTGCCGAAGGGCAAGGTTTCGTCCGGGGAGGTAGACAGGGCCTGAACCCGTCTAATCGGCTTCAAAGGCTATTTTTTGGCCGAGCCTACGGGCTCGGAGAAACCCTAATAAAACCGGCCTTGTGCCATATTCGTTCCGTGGGTGAAATGATAAATACCCAGAAAGTTCTTAGCTGATTTCCGACGTCTGTCGAACTCTCTGCGTTAGCAGAGAGGAACCCGCTCGAAGCTTTGCCGAAGGTTTCGTCCGGGGAGGTAGACAGGGCCTGAACCCGTCTAGGCGGGTTCAAGGGCTATATTTTGGCCGAGCCTACGGGCTCGGATCAACCCATTAAACTCGGCCTTGTGCCACATTCAATCCTCGTGGGGGATCGATAAATACTCAGAAAGTTCTTAGCTGAGCTAGTTATTGACTACTCAGGCGATTTCTGTACCTTTTTACCAAACTATTAAAACCCTTTTTATTGTTACGTGTTATTTGGCGTTTGTCTCTACTAACCCCAAATCAACATCATAACACTAATATTAGATTTTCACATATGTATATTTACAATATCACCTTTCCTAAGAGAATCACTAATCTCCCAAGCTAAATTCTTCTAGTTGCTAACGACATTTTGTTTGGTGTTGAGACGATATGTATAAAGGAAAAAAAAACAATAGGGAAACTATTGTTTTAGCCGACGCGTTAATTATATATCAAGAGACCACAGTACTAAGAGAAGGGTAAAAATATTTACCGTAATTTTTATCATGATAACCTCCGTAGAATTTAAATATATCTTTTCTTTTTTGCTTTTTGAGCGTTTGTTCACTAATATTGGACGCTATTGTACATACGCGAGAACATCCACCAGTGAATGTGGTTGAAATTATACGGAAAGCGTTCTTCTACAATTTTTTAGCGATCGATAAAAATGATTTGGATTTATAGTAAACGTGTCTTTTTCAGGATGCCAATTTCGCAGAGGAATGAAGAAGCAGTTGTTTGCTTGATTCAAAACAGGAACTGGCTGACTCAAGCTTTTGCTGAAAGCGGTGGGTTGGGAGGGGGAGAAATTGCACAGAAAATCACAAGGCGAAAATGGTTGATATTTTTTTTTTGACACGAGGACCAGTCAAAATAATTTAACTTATTTAATTTATTCGAAATATTCTTCTACTTAGAATATTGCTGCAAAATATGGTCCGATCCCCTTGCTACTTAGCTTGAGCTCCTTGATAAGATCCATAGAAGAATCAGCAATGTCATTGGCCCTGATCTGACGGCTCGGGTTCAATCACTTGCCCAACGCCGTAATATTGCCTTTGTGTACCTCTTTTATAAATTTCAAAGATTTAAAGATATTAAAATTTAAAATGTTATAGCTATATCAATTCTTAACTTTCCTGTTAGATATTGTCTTGAGTGTTCGTACAGGTTTTATAGGAAAATAAAGATGGAAAGAAAGAAAAAAGGTCTTATTTTAAAAACCCAATTAAAAGGCTAATATTAAAAAAATGAATTTTTAAATATACAAAAATGCAACATCCAAAAATAGTTTTCTTTTTTTTTTTTTTATTTCAGTGAACAAATGAAATTGCATTTAAATCGAACAAATATTATATCCCAATGGTAAATTGTTCGGATGAGCTCTCCGCCATGCTACCTAGATTTTTGGAATTTAAGCGCAATCCTAGACTGGCATCGAGATCTCATCGATTTACAGTAGCCCTAGATGTAGCCGGAGCTTTTATGCTAACAGTTTCTTCTCTCGGCACCATGCTTTCCCGCCAAATTTAGTTTGAAATGTACAATACCAATCGCTATCTACTGTCCTCCTGATTGCTCTTTTCTCTTTCTGCTCATTACTAATGTCACTGAAACTAATTCCTTCACATCTTGTAAACTCGTGCGTGCTTGTGGCTGTACTGACTTTTGTGTGTGTGTGTGTGTGTGTGTGTGTGTGTGTTTTGGTGTGTATATACAAATATATAATTATGAAATGCTTGTATGTTCCGATTTCATTTCCTTCCTTGAGTGGAAAATGTGTCATTGCAACACCGCTTGATGTTCGCTGACAGATGGAACTCAAAAAGTCACTAATGGAATGAATATATATATATATATATATATATATATATATATATATATATATATATATATTTTATATATATATATATATATATATATATATATATATATATATATATATATATATTTTCTTTTTATAGATATAAATATTTAAGTAAATGCTCTATTTATAATAAACGGTATTAACAACATTTACCGGAACTGAATGTCCGAGAAATTGTCATAGAAAATATGCGTCCTCCGACAGGAATCGAACCTATATCCTATACGGAACCGTCTTATATAGCCTGACGTGCCATAACCGATTGGGCCACAGGGAAGCGTTTCGGTTAGCAAGGTGGATTTTACTGTTTTTAAACTACAATTTTCCATGATTTTCTCACGTACATTCACATCTGCTCGATGCTTATCCAAGTGAAAAAAATGACGTCACGTATTATGAAATGGAAAAAGTCCGATAATTATTTTAAGACATTTTTAGGTTTATACATTCTTTTTTATAGATACAAAACATAAAAATTGCCTTTGTCCATTTCATAATATATATATATATATATATATATATATATATATATATACTTGGTTTCACACCCTTGAGATCGTTTGTCTGACGATCGCAAGGGTGTTAAACGCAACTATGTTAGCTCTATCACTGATATTGAGCGCTTTCAAATAAGTACCACGCATACATAATATATAAATAATATATAAAAAATAAAAATTTATACACACACATTATATATATATATATATATATATATATATATATATATATATATATATATATATATATAGAGAGAGAGAGAGAGAGAGAGAGAGAGAGATTTGTGTATTTAGGCAACAATCCTTCTTTCATGCACATTTCCTTGAATACGACAAACATGGTGCTTTGATTTCGTTTTTTATACAATTTCTCGTGTGATCTTATAAATTTTTTTTCTTTTCGGAGTATAAATTATATAAAAACTGTGCAATTGTTCTTTCTTTCGGCTATTCATTTAGCCATTTTCAAGGGTGAGATATATTAACTGTTAACGAGAAATAGTTTGTTGTATGCATGGATTTTCGAAACCTGGTCAAGATATTTTGTCTATGTTCATAGTTGATATTATTCAGTGTTGTTTTTTTGTTGTTTTTATTAATAATTAATATAATAACATCATCTACACGTAAAAAAGGCTAAAAATAATGGAATCTTTATTAGTAAAAAAGAAACACAAAAAAAAAACAAAAAAAAAACAACGTCTTGTAAGCAGAAAAATATGGACTCTCCGGCTGGGTTCCAACCTACCGTCACACTCTGTAGGAGGAAAACACTGCCAGATCCGGTGTTCTCTTGACGGCTCGGCTTATTTTGACATAACAGCAAATATATTCTTTCGACTAGATCAGGGTTGGCCAACCTTTTGATTCCATGTGCCAATATTTTGTACAATTAATTTAAATGCACCACTCAAACATTCACTTCCTTTCAGTACGTGTTGTAATATGGGCATATTTTAAAGTTATAATAAAATCTATTTATTTGAAAAATATATACTTATGACCAGGGGCGTTTCCTTTTAGCACTTTCGCAAAGGACGTGCAATAAATCTAAAATCACTGAATTGAATGAGTAGAAGTGGCTTAGTTTCTTTTCATCAAAAAGGATGCAATGCGCCACTTGTAAGCATCCAATGCGCCACTTATGGCGCATGCGCCACAGGCTGGCCATTCTTGGACGAGATCTTTTGGGGACGATCTGAACTCGAAGTGTATTCTTTGAAAAGAAAAAGGACAAAGATCTTTCCCGAAGATCTGGTCGAAAGTTCATTTTAGCTGAGATTTTATTTTCGTAATCGAAACCTAAACAAAGGCACTTTTAATGATTTTATGTTTTAAATGCGGCATTTCTTATTACTGTGTTAATCATTCTTCCAGACGTAATTCACAATGTTTAAAAACAAAACAAAACAGGGATCCTATTCAAGCATGTTTATTCTTTAAACAACGATTAGAGTATCAAAAAAAATTCTCTCTTTAGAGGATAGCGCTGAGTAACGTTTTCATTGACGCCTGCGTTTATACTCACGAGGAACGTAAGTGTTCATGCGTTAGCATTGGGGGAGATACGAAGATCCCTGAAAACGCTCTTTTGTGCATTTGTAGGCAGTGTTTGCGCTTGAATTCCGGAAATGATGCATCTTTCTTATTGCAAACGATGCAACAACGTCAATGAAATAGAATCCAGCTGCAGATCATCAATTAAAAAAGATGGTAAGACAAAAAGAACTGCAAGACACCATCACTTCCCCCCCCCCCACACACACACCTTTGAAGCGATTAGTTTTAAATCGGGAGTAGTTTTTTTTTTTTACTTTAATTTTCGGTTTGTGCTTCGGTAATTGCACATGTTCTGCATAAAAAAAAGATCTTGCACCGAAATCGTTTCTGTGTATGAATGAGATAAACATTCATTCAGGTGAGACGCTTGCAAATGAAAACAAAAACTCTTGACATACATAAAATCAAAGAAGCAGACGATTAGGATTAAGCGGTGTAGGGATGGGGGCAATGGATGGCTGTAGAATTAAAAGAAAATATTCATTTTTCATATTTTTTTTTGTTTTAAACTAATTAACATTTTTTTCTTAATTTTGTTTTTAATTAATTTATATCAGGGAAGATTATGAAAGAAGAAAATAGAGAGAAATGGATGGAGGGAGTAGGGAAAGGAGAGAAAAAGAGCGAGTTAGAGAGAAAGTATGGACAGAGAAAGGGAGGGAGAGAAAAAGAGAAACGGAGAGAGAAAAGTATGGAGGGAGGAAGGGTAGGAGAGAAAGAGAGAGAAAGATAAAGAGAAAACTATGGAGGGCGGGAGAGAAAAAGAGAGAGAAAATTATGGAAGGAGAAAGGTAGGGAGGGAGAAAGAGAGCGAGAAACATTTGATGGGAGCAAGGGAGGGAGAGAAAAAGAGAGAGAGGAAGTGAGAGAAAACAACTTGTATGATTCTCTGATTTAATGTCTGAATAAATTTAGTATTTCAATATCGATACAAGTTTTTCCTTTTCTGAGGTGCGTATACATTTTTTGGATATATAGATGGATATTAACAGAGATTGATAGATATTAACAGAGATAGATAGATAGATAGATAGGAAACAGAGTGAGATAGATAGATAGATAAATAGATAGATAGATATGAAACAGACTGAGATAGATAGATATATAGATATGAAACAAACTGAGATAGATAGATATATAGATAGATATGAAACAGACTGAGATAGATAGCTAGATAGATAGATAGATAGATATGAAACAGACTGAGATAGATAGATAGATAGATGTGTATCGCAGAAAACCGGCTACATTGGCGGTTCTTAGACAAGAAATTGAAAATGCATGTGCAGCAATAGTTCGCCATACAAATGGATGTTTTGAAGCTAAAGATCACCATTTTAAACGTCTCTTGTGATTGTAGAAGTCAAAAGGTAACTTGCATTAATTTCCTGATTTCTGAATCTCTGAATTAACGTCAGAATAAATTTTGTATTACAATATCTATACAAGATGTTACTTTCCTGTAGAGTGTATACTTTGGGGGCGGTGGCATATACATATACATATATATATATATATATATATATATATATATATATATATATATATATATATATATATATATATTAGGTTTGGAACTGTAAAAAGAATAACTCGAAGTAAGTTGCAAAATAACGTCAAAAATTACCACAACAAATATTTTTCTTCAAAACTTCGTATTTATTTGAGGAATCGAACTTAAAGACAAAATAAATTGCGATTTTTATCGTAACATTACAGAAGAAAATACACTTAATAATCGATATGTTTAAGTTTAGTATCTATTCTTTTAATAAATTAAATGAAATTACCAAAAATAAAGAAAATAGATCGTACTAAAATATTTAGTTTAAAATACAAATACCTACTTATGAACGCCATCTTTTTTATTGGATATTTTTTTCGGTGTTTGCCGGTAGTAATCACCTCCTCCTGTAAGTTCGTTTTATTTTTTTGTTTACTGTTTACACTTTTAACTAGCACAAATATCTATTGTATTTTTCATCAAAATATAATTAACTATTGAAAAAAATACAATATTTATAATTATTGTAATTTGTTTATATTTTCAAAATTAGTGTCTTTTTTATAAAAGCCTGTTTACGAGCTAATCTCGAACTAACTCTACTTTTTATGTAAGTAAAACATTACTTTTTTTTAAAATTGATAATGTATTTCGAACTTTATTTTCAAATTTATTTTGAAAAGTATTTTTGTGTAATTTCTGATAATACATATATTTTCTTTTTTCAGATATTTTAATAAAAATGGCAGGAAAAAAAGCATCCCAAAAGGCCTTATAGCCTTATCAAAATTCCACGGTATTGAGTTGATCAGGTGTGATGTATCTTCCAATCTTGGAGCCAGCTTTGCCAATGCTTTGTTCTTGGATTTGAGGGCTATTGGCCTTCTTATCCCCAATATTAATATAAAAGATATTTATATAGATAAATGTAAAATTGATAGAGCAAAGGCTAAAGTGAAAACAAATGCCCATCAACAGCATGATGAAAAGTTGGAAAATCTTCCTTGTATTGGAGTTGATGGGAGAACTGACAAAGACACATTAATGTACAAGCAAATAGGGGAGGAAAATGGAGAGAAGACTGAAAAAAAAACAAGGGATCAGAAAGCCACTTGGGAAGAAGCTATAAAAAGCCATTAGGTAAGTAAATAAATATTTATTCATATAAAACTGACTAAATTAGTTATGCCGATTTATGGAATCATTTTAAGGATTTTATCTAATTTCTCTATAAATTAATATTTATAGAGAAATTAGATAAATGCATTTTTTTTTAAATAACTCAAATTAATTTTTATATTCTTTCAGGAGTGGGGAGCCAGCCAAGAAATGATTAAAAAGAATGACAACTATCAATTTTAAAACTTATGAAAACTTATTAAATCTGTCATTAAGTGGAGTTTGTGAACCACCACTCACAGAAGAATTTTCTGAAAATGAATTTCGGGAATAATTATTAAATGGTACGAAATTTGACTTACCAGATTTTCCCTCACATTCTCAAGGCATGGAACGGGCAGTCAAGTTAACAACAGATGCTTCCCAATCTGTGTATGGCTTTGAAGCAAGGCACCAGCACATAATAGGAAAAGTTTTGTGTCAGAATTGAGACCATCATTTTCGTCTAAGGGCTCTTATATACTGTACTGTACTGATGCGGCATTCACGCTGGGCTCGGCTTCTTTCTGTTATGAGAAGAAGATTCTTGGGATAAATTACAGAAGTAGGGTACCCAGGCCTACTCGGATAACGTTCTTTAAAAAAAGGATTCCCACAGACGCAGAGACAGGAACGACCAGAAGCCGCCGGTTACCGATGCAGACGCTTCTTGGATTTTTCACCATGTTAGCCGGCGTGTGTCAGACCTGTCCGCCTTTGGTGGCCCTACCAGGAACGAAGTTCCGGGCGGCATAGCTCTGACACTACCGTTTACCCCCCACCGACTGTGAGGTAAGGGTTGGGGTAGGGCTGATTTTCAATTTGAAGTTTACTTATAATTTATTTCATTTTAATAAAATAAAATAACATCCCCTGATTTAAATACTGAAATTTTTGGTTTTCTCATCAATATTTAGGCCAAATTTTGCAAATTCGAGGATATTTCAGAGCATTTTTAATTACGATATTTGCTCAAAAACAGTTGAAGTGTCAGATCTAATTTTTTGTATCAGTTCTTAATAGGTCGATACACAACTTTCGGTGTATTAGTGTATTATTCTTTTTGATATTTTAAAAAAAGTGAAAAATTAACCTACCTTAATATATATATATATATATATATATATATATATATATATATATATATATATATATATATATGTATATATAAAGGGAAAAAACAGATTAAGAATCCACAGGTTTTTAGCATTTACTTTTTAAAAAGGTGCTTGATACAACGTAGGGCATAATATTTATTAATATTTTTATTTAAAAATATTTTACATCACGACACGGAAATTTCTATGTTTCGGAACTTTAAAAGTGTTCCATTATCAACCGATGTTGGGAAACTTTTAATGAAAATGATTTACATTTGAAAACAGAATTTTATTTTACTGAAGAGTTAAGGAGGATGGTGGGAGGAACAAGATTTCAAAATTTTATGGGTATGTCCTGTTTGACCAATCAAAAGATAGGTCAGAGCTAAATCAGTATAGTGAAAAGTATAAGTTAGGGGTGTGCATATTATTCATATTTGCATAGATGAACTGTCATTTTTAGACGTGTCACCATTACATCCGATTAGAAATATACTTTTTAAGATACAATGAATTAATTATATATATATATATATATATATATATATATATATATATATATATATATATATATAAATACAGTCAAGAGTTCAATGATACATATTTTCTCCTGTAAACATAAAAAGCAAGGTTCGCTCAGAGAATTGCAAGTTCTGGCTTGTCTTAGGATTTTCCATTTGACCTTAGGTGTTTTTCCTTCTTCCTTGAGTTTCCAGACATATTTCGAAAGTGATGTCATATTTCGTTTGGCCGTATTTGTTTCTTGAAAAGTAACGCTAACCCTATTTATATAAACCCTAATTCCAATCACCCAACGCCAGTTATTAAACATATCCCATCATCCGCTGAACGTCGTATAAACAAGCACTCTTCTAGCAAGGAAATATTCGATAAACACAAAATTATCTATAATAAAATCCTTACCAACAGTGGTTACATATCTTAAGAAATTAAATATAGAGAAAATTGTAGTTATTCTAAAAAAAAAAACAATAGAAGACGGAGAATAATTTGGTATACACCTCCCTTCAACAAATTAGTCCGTACCAAATTAGGACACAAATTCTTAAATCTGATTAACAAGCACTTCCCTACGGAGAATAAATTAAGCCAGATCTTCAATCGAAATACCTTAAAAATTAACTATAGCTGTTCTAGAAATCTAGAAAAAATTATTAAATCGTATAACAATAGAATACTGAAATTTCATAGAGAAAATAAACGCAACCTAAATACAAGTTCTAATACGCCCCAGGAAAAAAGGCTATGTAATTCTAGAATCCCCGATCAATGTCCTTTATTAAACAGGTGCTTAACCAAATCCACACTGTATATGTGCTATATCTCATCAAATGACCCCAAAGATATTAAACTATATATATATATATATATATATATATATATATATATATATATATATATATATAATAAAAAAAGGCTTAAACACTAATATTCTATGGTCATAATTTATTCCATTGGAATCGTAAATACGATCCAATTCATCAGACCTACAAATTCAAAAAGAAAACAGAAAAAAACTCCGGAAATAAAAATAGAATTTAGAGAGAGTGTAAGTATGATAGTGTGGTACGAATGTTAGAGCTAAAGAGAGGGATAACAGACGAGAGAAGGTGGAAGATTAAACCTTAACGGAGAGAAGTTTTAGAGAGGTGAGTTGAAGACGGTTTAAGTTAGAGAAATATGAATGTTGTCGGATTTCTAATACATTAAAGATGTAACCGGAAAGGGTGCATTTTGTGGTGACATACACACACAATATAGACCGGGGAGGGAGAGGAAAAGAAAAGAAAAAGGGGTGGGGGAGAGATGGGGAGGGGAAAACTAAAACTGAAGGGCATTTACTGAAAGGGCCGCTGTGTAATTAAGAAAATTTGACAAAATTAATATTAATATATATATATATTAATATTAATATATAGTAATATCTATCTATCTATCTATCTATCTCTCTCTCTCTCTATATATATATATATATATATATATATATATATATATAGGAGACAAAGCAATATATAAACAGTAGATTTGAACGTGCGGATATATTCGATGTACAACACTGCATAGAATCTGTCAGTTTCACGTTTTATTATTTGGCGGGGGGCTCTATATAGGCTGCTTTATATTCGTATATCAATGGATAGATAGGCCAGGATAATGAAATACAAAACTTAGGTGATTTAAAACTGGGAGCAACAGAGAAAAATAAATTGTATTGACATTTCTTAAATCCATTATCTGTCGATGGAAAAAAAGAATCCAAGGTGAAGTAAAAAAGAAGAAAAAAGGAAAGAAGAAAAAGAGGAAAAGGAAAATAAAAAAGAAGTAGAAGATGTCGAATAAGAAGTAAAAAAGAAGGAATAAGAAAAGAAGAAGAAAAAAGAAAAGGAAAATAAAAAAGAAGTCGAAGAAGACAAGAAGAAAAAGAAGAAAAGGAAAATAAAAAAGAAGTCGAAGAAGACAAGAAGAAAAAGAAGAAAAGGAAAATAAAAAAGAAGTCGAAGAAGACAAGAAGAAAAAGAAGAAAAGGAAAATAAAAAAGAAGTCGAAGAAGACAAGAAGAAAAAGAAGAAAAGGAAAATAAAAAAGAAGTCGAAGAAGACAAGAAGAAAAAGAAGAAAAGGAAAATAAAAAAGTAGAAAAAGTCGAATAAGAATTAAAAAAAGGAAAAAAGGAAAGAAGAAAAAGAAGAAAAGGAAAATAAAAAAGAAGTCGAAGACAAGAAGAAAAAGAAGAAAAGGAAAATAAAAAAGAAGTAGAAAAAGTCGAATAAGAAGTAAAAAAGAAGAAAAAAGGAAAGAAGAAAAAGAAGAAAAGGAAAATAAAAAAGAAGTCGAAGAAGACAAGAAGAAAAAGAAAAAAAGAAAAAGAAAAGGAAAATAAAGAAAAAGAAGAAGTAAAGCAAGAAGAAGAAAAGGAAAATAAAAAAGAAGTCGAAGAAGACAAGAAGAAAAAGAAAAAAAGAAAAAGAAAAGGAAAATAAAGAAAAAGAAGAAGTAAAGCAAGAAGAAGAAAAGGAAAATAAAAAAGAAGTAGAAGTAGAACAAGAAAAAGAAAAAGAAGAAAAAGAGAATAAAACAGAAGGAGAAGAAGTCGAAGAAGGAGTAAAAAACGAGAAGAAAAAGTAAAAGAAAATAAAGAAGAAAAAAAAAGCAGATCGAATAAATAACTACAAATAAATCAAACGATCGACGGCACCGAAAAAAAACCCCCAAAACAAAGAAAAAAACAAAAAAACTGTAAGAAAAATAAATAAAAAATAAATAAGGAATTGCAAGCCAAAAATATATATATATATATATATATATATATATATATATACATACATATAAAGAATATATATAAAGAAAGAAACGCAATCAATCTTCTGCACACGCAGAGTGGCGTGCGTGTCTCTCAGCATTTTGTTCGCCCATTTAAATGCATAACGTCAGCAAAGCCCCCTCTTTTTCGTATTCTCTTCCCGTACAAGCCTTGTTTATCGAATCACAGCATTTAGTCACTTCCTTGTTAGCTTTGTAAGCTATAGTCTGTACGCTCTAGTCTATTCAGATTCTATCGCTGGCTTTTCTGACAGGCTGGGTCGGGGTGGCGGCGCATATCACTATCTCAGTAGTTAACCTCCAGGATGTTTTCTAGTGCACATTCACATAAAACAAAAACAAAAAAAAAATTGCCAAAAAAGGAAAAACACAAAAACAAGGTTTCAGGAGAAAAAAAAGTACCTGCGGCTTCGCATTAAATTTGTCAAGAAATAAAAGTCAAGACAAAAGTCTCCAAAACAGAAACTATGATCTGGAAGAATTAGTATGAACACAGTGATGCCACCTACCCTAAATCCGTCAATTTTAGAGCGCTGAACGTTTTCCTTAAAAATAACGAGATAAATCATTTGTTCACTTAAATCTAAATAACTTCACATCTCTCCTTCCGTAGAAGGAATTATCCTCACGTAAGCTATCAAAACGTCATGAATGTCTTTCGTCACCTTGTCAAGTGACGCGAAAGGTTATGTTCTGCTTTGTTTTATTTTCAAACTACATCTTTTCGGCGCAGAAGCTAAGTTAAGCTTGGTTCAAAATATTTTCAATAAACATTATAATTTCTGATTTTCTTAAAATAAGTTTTGAAAAAAATTATAATTGATTTTTAAAAGAATTTCAAACTTGAGATTTTCATTTTTTTATAAATTGGAAAAAAATGGCTGAAATGATCGATTATCTGTCAATTTTGCGGACTAAAAAAACAAGATTTTTAACGAATATTTTGGACATGCTAGGAACGATTAAAAATGCAAAAAAAAATACTCCAAAAATACTTTGATCTTTCTTCTTAATAATAGCATAAACATTTAGATGATAAAGTTTTGTTTCCGTCAAGTTTGGCGTCTTTTTCGTCATGCTATACTCTTTTTTAGCGATATCATGAAGGTACCTATATACAGGATGTGGAGTTAGTAAATACTAAACACGTCAGATACCTCAGCATGTGGTTTAGCTATAATAAATTAAGTATAAGAGAAAAAGAAATTGAAAATAGAATAGGCTGTCCCAGAGGTAGTTTCACCGAACACCACAAATTGCTACAAAACCCCAAAATCATCTGACGTGTTTTTATTGATTTTGGTACGTGATAAAATCATGGAAAATTGTAGTTTAAAAACAGTAAAATCGATCTTGTTCACTGAAACGCTCTTCTGTGGCGAAATCGGTAAAAACACGTCAGGCTATATAACGGTTCCGTATAGGATACAGGTTCGATTCCTGTCATAGGACGCATATTTTCTGTGACAATTTCTCGGACATTCATTTCCGGTAAATGTTGTTAATACTGTTTATTATAAACAGCATTTACTTAAATATTTGTATCTATAAAAAAGAATGTACAAATATAAAAATTTCTTTATATATATATAGTTTTCTTTATCTTCTCCCCAAAAACATATTATATGTGTGTATGTGTGTGTGTATTTCCCTTCGATGGCTAATGTACCGATGGCGTACGAATGATCTGGAACAGAAAATCAACAGTTCCATGAAATGGGACTCAAGATAAACCTTTCCAAAACAGAAACTATGATATGGAATTGAAATGAACGCATCATAAAAATATAAGATGTGGAACTTATAAATACTAAATCCTTCAGATACATCAGTGTATGGATTAGTTTTTTCTTGTAATTACTTAACGTCAAGCAAGCTAATATGACGTAAGGGGTTACTGAGTATAAGAGAATATGCAAAAAAAAAATACTATTAAGAAGAGAAGACAATAAAAGAAGAAAAATTAAGACAGAAGATAGCGATTAACATTGAATTTAAATTCTTGAAATTGACAGAAAGAAATCAGAAGAGCGTTCCACAATTGAGAAGTGCGATAGAAGAAACTGTTAGCATAGAACTTACGGTTACATCTAGCAATTTTAACTGTAAAATCATGTTACCTTATTGCCAAACTTGTACTGAGCTTAAATTCATAACATCTTGATACCATTGGCGGAAGTTCATTAGAAAAATTACCATGAAAATATTTATTGAAAAAGCAGAGAGAAGCTACATTACCGTGGTAGGAAAGTGATTCAAACTGAGATGCCAGGTCACGACTAGTAACATTCCTCTTTCGATTTTATCAAGACTCTCGAAATATACCTCAGGAACATCAGACTAGATGTGGCTGTTATAGCAAATTTAGGATTTAATAATAAGGAAATTAAACAGGATACGCCATGCGAGGCGTAATTTTGTCTAACACTACATTCCAAAGCCAAAACATTAACTTAAAAACGAGAATCCTTTTCTTAAATAGCCTCGTCGGATCGAAACCGTTATATGGATGTGATGCATGGCGTCAAACCTGTTCAGAAACTGCCATCTGTAGCTTTCTGAGATCAGTGACTAAACATGGCTTCGAATTAATGAAAACTGTAGGTTTTATCAGGGTCCCTCCTCTCTCCGAACATTGAGAGTTGGCGCTACAGAATCACAAAGAACTGTACCAAATAACAGAAGCCACACTATTTGAGAACAAAAATAACAACGAAGATGGATATCAAATGTAACTCGAAGAGAAAATAATGACATAATAAAGATATTAACATTCCACACTACTTAAAAGAAAAGGTTAGGCGGGAAACTCCCATCAATACGGGAAAGTGAGGTATTAGGTAATATACTTGAGGAATTGGTTTTTCTAAAAATATTAGGAAGATTTTATAAATTCAATTGATGATGGCACGTGATGCCATGTTAATGACTGTCGAATGTTTACCTGTAAAGAGACATTCGGCAAGGGTTAAGAATTAATTTCTTGAAGGATTAAAGTCTCGAATTTGTCGAAGAATTAATTTTCGTAGAATTAAGTTTTCGAAGAGTTAAATTCTCGAAAGGTTGAATTCTTGAATAATTAAATTCTCAAAGAGTTAAATTCTCCAATAATTAAATTCTCGAAGAGTTGAATACTCGAAGAATTACTTTCTCGAAATGCTGAATTCTCGAAATGCTGAATTCTCGAAGAGTTGAATTCTCGAAGAATTAATTTCTCGAAAAGTTGAATTCTTGAAAACTTAATTTCTCGAAAAGTTGAATTCTCGAAGAATTAATTTCTCGAAGAATTAATTACTCGAAGATTTGAATTCTCGAAGAATTAATTTCTTGGAGAATTAAATTTTCGAAGAATTAAATTCTCGAAGAGTTAAATTCTGGAAGTGTTAAATTCCCCAAATATTATTTTTTCAAAGAATTTGTCTAATTTAACAAATAATTAAATTATCAAAGAATTAATCTATCGAAGAGTTAAATTCTCAAAGAATTAAATTCTCTAAAAGTTAAATTCTCGATGAATTAAATTCTTTGAAGAATTAAATTCTTTGAAGAGTTAAATTATCGAAGCTACCTTTCTTCATAATGTGTTGTCCCGTTTTCATTTCTGTTTTCCTTTTGAATCTCAATTTCTTCAAAAGTTCGATATTTCTCACCATTTCCATACAAGGTATTTTCCATTTGCCAGACTATACTTCTGTTTCCTCAAGTCTCTTTTTCATATGCTAAGAAATTCTACAGCATTCACTGCCAAATATGAGGATCGATATTACATCGAAGTTCAGCACTCTTAATCATTAATTCTAACGAAACATTCTTGCCCCTAAGTCCTCTGTTCGCTATTTCAGTGCGCCTTCGGGTTTAAAAACAGCGAAGAGAGCTATGAATATGCTTGCAGTATATATTTCTACAGTAGCTCGATAGTAGGAAATGTCAAAAGGCATACAAGAAAACAGGGGATGTATTTGAAATTACTTGTGCGCCTTGGTTTCAGCTCTTGCCAATAAGGCTCTCGAGTAACAGGTGAAACTATGGCGCCCAAGGGCTTCGAGAATTACAGGACATATTGAATGACGTGGAGGCTTCGGGTTACAGCAAGTAGCTGACTTAATGAATTTGTGCGAATGTATCACAAAACAGGAACTGTGACCGATGGTAAAGGGACAAGCATTTAATAGAGTTACAAGAGATAGGAAGATTTGGAGAGTCGTAACCCTGAAAGGCCATGGCATATAAAACAAACAAAAACATCAAACACGTACATTTGCTAAATATAACTTTTAGAGAAATCCTTTACTTCTTTAGAATTTACTTTGTTTACAGTTCTGAGACGAAAATAAATCTTAGCAAATTTGGCTAAAAGAGCGAATGAGTTTTATTGTTAAAAAAAAGTTTTATTTTATAAAAGGGTAATTAAATTTGTCTATCTGCGAAGTTCTTCACGACTGAGAAATCTAAAGCACAGTCAAATATATCTTATATATATATATATATATATATACGTGATTTTGGGGGGATTTAGGCTAATCATATAGTAATTTCTCGAGCCTAGAATAACCCGCAGCAGAATGCACTGGGCGGCCGTTTCGTCCTATCTGGGAGTGCCCATCAACTACTAAGAATCGAACCGGCACCATTTCGATACAACGCAAACGTCATACCAACTGTACCATGGGGCCTCGGTGACGAAGAAGGCACAAACTAGACTCAATATAGCGCCGCTACTCACTCAGTTCCGTAGCGATCAGATAACCTGTTCTGAGGTTATATGAATACTTTCTGGATTCTGTTGAGGATTATTCAAGACTCGACGAATTACTATATGATTTGCCTAAATCCCCCAAATAATCACTTGTATATCCTTGCTAGACCCAGCTAATGGTCTGTGATGGAGCGGCTAAGGGTAAAAAAGCAGCCGTGGCTCTTGGGGCACTGGTCTGCGGTTATCTGAATAATTGAATGAGTATCGCTGGGAAAAATATCATGTGTTAAAGTTTACTTTAGAATAAATGTAAATAAAAAAGACCTATCTCCTAGGTGTACTTTTATATTATGACGATAATTTTATTACTTATAGAACCGTATAAAATATCATCCAGTTTTAATTTTAGCTTCGTATCCTATATGAGTGAATGTCCTGAATAATATAAATTTATTGATATAAATTTATTGATATAAAGAAATTAATTTAAAACAATTCAATCTCCTGGTATAAAGCAAATTTTCTTAAGCCATTAAGTAACTTAAAACAAATACTCTCGTTTGGCCACTTGCTTTCAAGTGACATCTTATCGTCAAAAATTCAAATACAATGATAATTGGTATTTTCTGTTTTCTTAATTCCTGTTCTTTCATTGTTCATAATATTGTTTTATCAGATTCTTTCACACTTATTAACCCCTTACTTATTCGTGGCTTTGTTGCTTTGCTTGGGAGTGAAATGATAAAAACAAAAACAAAAAAAAAACACCCCGATTTTTTTTTAAGCATTACGCCCCGAGCGAGGCGTGAAGCCACTAGGATGCAGGGGGTTGCAGAAGCGAGAGCAGATAGGAGTGATAGAAGAAAGGATGAGGAGGGATAGTGGATAGATCAAGGTAACTGGAGGTGTCGATTGACATTACATTTGAATAGTTGGAGATTATAGCTCTCAGGGAAACAGTAATTGGGAAGGGTGTTCCACAGGCGAGAGGTGCGAGGTATGAAGCTATTGGAGTAGAAGAGACGGCTACATTTAAAAGTTTCTACAGTGTAAGGGGGAGCGATTGCAATATTTATCTTCCGGACGGACTAAAAAGGAAAAAAAAAAATCTGAAATAGCTCCCAAAGGAAAGCAGTATTTTTATAGATGAAGAAAAGAACTCTTCTTTTAAAAGAGGAAAGTTTTTACTCCGTTACTGAATGAAATATTAAAGAATGGGTCAAGAGAAATGGCCAGTATGACAATATAGAAGGAACGCACAAAGAGAGTCGAGTAGTTTCATATTAAGGGATTCTTAGTTTCCCGGTAATTCTCATGAGAGTTAGTTACAAGGAGTAACTTACGAGATTTACCGTGATTCCACGAGAATTAAGTGATATAAAATATAGTCAATGGGGAACCATTAGAGGTAAAGATCATTTAACCTCCAATAAAGCAGCAATGAATGAATGAAGGAATGAATGAATGAAGGAATGAATGAAGGGATGAATGAATGAAGGAATGAATGAAGGGATGAATGAATGAAGGAACAATAAAAATGACTGAACAGGAGAAAAAAGAGAGAAAAAAACAACATAAATAACGGAAGAAATAAATAATGAACAAGGAAAGTAAGAAGAAATAAATAAAAAAAAAGGAAGAGGACACTAAATTAAAAAAAAAAACGAAGAAAAATAATTACGACATATTGTAAGCCAAATATAATACATATCGAAGAAAAAGAAATGAAAGAATGCAAGGGAGGTGTAAATGAATGAAAGGGAAAACAAAGAAATGAAAAGAGAAGAGAAGGGTAAATTAAAAAATAAAGAGAAATAATTACAACAGACTGAAAGTAAGAAAGAAAGAAAAAAGAAAGAAAAGAGGAAGAGAAAATTAAATTAAAAAAAGAAGAAAAAAATGATAAGAGACTGAAAAACAAATACAAAGAAAGGAAGAGACGATTAAATAAATGAAGGGAAAAAACAATAAAAACAGACTGAAAGTCAAATAGAAAAAAAGAAAGAAACAAACAAACAAAGAAGGAAAGAAAGAAGGAAAGAAAGAAAGAAACAAAGAAGGAACGAACGAAAGAAAGAAACAAAGAAGGAACGAAAGAAATAAGGAAAGAAATCAAAGAAGGAAGGAGAAATAAAGAAAGGAGAAAAAGTAAGGAGGAAAGAAGGAAACAAAGTAAGAAGGAAAGAAACAAAAAGAAAGAAGTAAAGAAAGAAACAAAGAAAGAAGGAAATAAAGAAACAAAGAAAGAAGGAAGGAAAGAAACAAGGAAATGAAGAAACAAAGAAAGAAGGAAAGAAACAAAAAAGAAAGAAGGAAAGAAACAAAGAAGGAACGAAAGAAATAACGAAAGAACTCAAAGAAGGATGAAGAAAGAAAGAAAGAAAGAAAGAAAGAAAGAAGCAAGGAAAAAGAAACAAACAAAGACGGAACGAAAGAAAGAAACAAACAACGAAAGAACGAAAGAAATAAGGAAACAAATCAAAGAAGGAGAAATAAAGAAAGGAGAAAAAGAAAGAAAGAAAGAAAGAAAGAAAGAAGGAAAGAAACAAAGAAACAAAGAAAGAAGGAAAGAAACATAAAAGAAAGAAGGGAAGAAAGAAAGAAAGAAGGAAGGAAAGAAACAAACAAACAAAGAAAGAAGAAAAGAAGGAAGGAAAGAAAGAAGGAAGGAAAGAAAGAAAGAAAGAAAGAAAGAAAGAAAGAAAGAAAGAAAGAAAGAAAGAAGGAAACAAAGAAGGAAGGAAAGGAATAATGAAAGAAAGAAAGAATGAAAGTAAAACAATAAAGTCAAATAGAATGCAGTGGCGGTAGGAGTGGTTTGAAGCCAAAACGAGGCTTCGATAAATGAAGATTTCGCAATGTTCGAACGATTCCTTTTTCTCGATGAACATTTCTAAAACCCTTGTCTTTGACCTTTTACAAGTGCATTCTCAAAAATCCTTCGCCATTTTCCAATCATCTTACAAGCAGGAATATAAATGAGAAAAGATGAAGGATTTGAAAAATATCGTCCTAAGATGGAAAAAAAAAAAGATTGGAGAACAAATGAAAAAAATCCAAGATATTCAGGTAATTCATTATCCGCGGTTTCGAGTCCACGTTACAGATACCCGCGGTTCATCGCGGGCATCGTCATTTTGAAACTATTACAAGTAATAGCACCCACACAACCTAAGAATAATATTGTTGATGATTGGGATATACCAAGAAGAAACAGTAGAATATTTTCCTTTGAGTAAATTGAGAAAATTTTAGGATTTAAGGAAGTAAGAGAAGAAAACGTCCGCAGATGTTGCTAATGTTCAAAGTAAGAATGAACGTTCTATTATGTAACATTTAAGACACTATATTTTTTTTTATAATTGCTCTGTGTTTTTATAATCAGTTCATCCCAAAGCAAGGCAATAAAGACACTGAGACGCAAGAAATCGCAAGAAAATGTGAAAACGTTACTGAGGAGAAAAGACAAAAAGAAGAGGATTCCAGAAGACAGAAGAAGTCGACTGATGTCGTATTTAAACTTTTGAAGATCGTATATCACAGGAAACCAAGAAGCCGAAAGATCGATCGACAAGCGGTTAATTTATTAATTTCTGTTTTATTTTAAGTCATTATTGTTAAGCTATTATAATTTATTGGTAAAGTAATTTTAATCATATGCTCCCGAAAAAATTATTTCGGTTCAGCTCTCGGGGAAAGGGAATTTGTAAACAGTGACTATTACTGTTGCTGATGCAAGACTCTTGTTTTTCGTCTTTATCTAAAGATAAATACGTCTAAATTCCCCTTCACCCATGCCGTGTGCCATGGCATAGGGGTAGAGTCTCCGACTGATACCAAGACAGTCTGGTTGTGATCCCGACTTGAGACAATCGGATGTCTAACCACACTGATGAGTTGTGAAACAACGAAACAGTCGGTCTGTGGATGTCAATATATAAGTCTTGATAGGAGCATTTCTCTAATGACAAATAGATGGTGTGATTATTTTGTTAGCTGTAATGTGTGCAATGTCTTCATCTATAACATTTGAAGGCCTACCATTGTGGAGCCTGTCATTAAGGTCAAATTTCTTCTTTATCTCGAAAATTCATCATGTTTTGTTCTCACAACTAGTGCGAACATCCTGTATACATCCTCTAACCTCCTGTGAATAAAACCGAAACCATATATATATATATATATATATATATATATATATATATATATATATATATATATATTTACCAAACTATTCTAAGAAATTATCAGCAATAATTAAACCTTAACCAACAATAATTTCGAGGAGAAAATAAAATTACTCTTAACAAAATTTGGAAAAAAAATGACGCCTGACATAACCAAAAATTTAGCTTTAATTGAAAGTTAATGATTAAATTTATTATGTCCAGTAAGTAAAATATTCTGGTGTATTTCAGATATAAATTATGTAGATTGGAATGTTAAATTTAATTCCGATTTCTTAAAATTTTCTAAAAAGAGGCCATTTTCTTCATTTCAAGAAATTTGCAAACAAAAATAATATCGATTTTAAAATTCTTTCAAAAAATACAAATATATTTCTAACGCGTTATTTAAGTAAAATTAGAAAATTTAAATTAATCTGATTTCAAATAAATATTACTTATACTATTTACATTATTCGGACTATTGTCCTCATCTTTGTGGCCATATTTATTAAAATGTTTCGGTTATTCATTATCTGTTTATATTTCTGAGATGAGGTATTATGTACATTATTTACATCATTCGGACTATTGTCTACATCTTTGTCGCCATATTTATTACAACGTTTCGGCTCTTCCGTATCTGTCTATATTTCTGAAATGATGTATTATGTCCACTATTTACATTATTCGGACTATTGTCATCATCTTTGTCGCCATATTTATTACAACAATTCAGCCCTTCAGTATCTGGCTATATTTCTGAGATGAGGTATTATGTGCACTATTTACATTATTCGGACTATTGTCCTCATCTCTGTCGCCGTATTTATTACAATGTTTCGGCTGTTGTACGCCCCGTACTTCTTCAGGTGGTTGGAATGTCGAACTGAACCCTTTATTTTGCTCACTGGGGTAGACTATTCTAGTTCCAGTTATCAGTTATCTCTTATTAATTCCCCTCTCCAAGTTCTCCACTGCCTAAAAACGGGGATTCTGTATTCGTCACTTCAAAAAGTGTGGATGGTTCTGCACGAAACCTTCACCACTATAACCAAATCTCATGTGCTGTTGTCGGCCTGTCGGTTTCCTAGGAATTGATCTGCTTGACCCTCATACGTCGAATTCGACGGGAGGGTCGAGTATAAAATTTAAACGATTCCATATATATATATATATATATATATATATATATATATATAAATAGAGAGAGAGAGAGAGAGAGAGAGAGAGAGAGAGAGAGAGAGATCGGCCTCTTCGTATCTACCCCAGGCTTTTCAAATGTATCTTAGTCTGTTAATATTTCTCAGGCTGTTTATATCTATCTTGCAAGTTATCTATCGCTCTATTCAATTCTCTCTCAGTCTCTTTATCTATCTCAGGATGTTAATATCTATCCACGTTATTCATGTATCTAGAGATAGATGAATCTGTGTCGTGGAGAGAATTAATTTACACACACACACACACACACACACACACACACACACACACACACACACACACATATATATATATATATATATATATATATATATATATATATTTTTTTTTTCCAGAATGAGAGTGGGCACCGAATACATCACATGGGGAAAAGATGAAAAAGAAAGAAAACAATTAAACGACCGACTTCCATAGCTTTTTTTGCCCGAAGCGCCAAACAAAGTGCTAGGTTCTTACAAATTTCTTTTTCTGCAATCTATTTAACAAAGCCGCCATGTTGAATGGTCGGCAGCAAATTCAAATCGTGGAGTGATTCTTAAAGGGAATTGCCGATAATGTGGCAGTTTTGGAGAGGAATCTCAAAAGCGAAACCACAATTTTATGGGATGTTGGAAGTGCTGTAAATACCGTAGCAACAAGTCGTATATATTTATATACTTCTATTATTCACAATTTTTATGCAGGTATAGATATGGTACTTTCATACTATTTACATTATTCGGACTATTGTCCTCATCTTTGTCACCATATTTCTTACAATGTTTCGGCTGTTGTACGTTCCAGCCTTCTTCAGGTGGTTGGAATGTCAAACTGAACCCTTTATTTCGCTCACTGGGGTAAACTGTTCTAGTTCCGCGTGCCATGTTTAATGGATGTCAGTTATCAGTTATCTCCTGTTAATTCCCCTCTCCAAGTTCTCCACTGCCTTAACCGGGTATTGAACTCAGACTCCTCAAGGACACATAGCACAATGGATAAAGGCGTTGGTTAGATCCAGTGACAGGACCCAAAGAGTGTGAGTTCAACATTACCCAGATCGACCCGCTAGATATTTATATATTAGATTGGTGCAAAAATAATGACGTAATAATATCGTTTTTGGACGTATTTTTTAACGTCAAAAAACGACTTTATTACGTCATTATTTTTGCACCAACTTAATATATATATATATATATATATATGCATACATATATACGCACACACATATTCAAGCATGTTTGGTTAAATAATTTAGACGTATTTTGTCTATTTATCTTAGTCTTAATCATTTCAAGTACAAGAATTAGTTTCTTGATGGCTGAAAGAAAAATTCCAAAATTTTCTTTCAAATAATTTAAAATTCTTCTTGATCAAATTTCTACAGCCACCAAAAATTAATTAATGGACTTGAACGGACTAAAACTATATTAAATATATATAATACGTATAAATTATTTAAGGAAACATCTTGAATGAATTTATCCTGTCTATATATATATATATATATATATATATATATATATATATATATATATATTTAAAACAAAAAGATGTTAAAAATCGCTACACAATTACAATTATGTTTCAACACTACAAATGTGTCTCCTCGGGCGATGGTAAACTACTGACGAGTGAAAGATTATTTTAATTTCAAAAAACAAAATACTTCCTCATTTTTTTTTCTCCCGAGAACAAAAAAATGTGAAAAATAAAAATAAATCGGCTTGTAGGCTTTGCTGTGATTAACTAATTGGATGTGACACACGTTAATTCAAACAGACCTAATTTTTATTTATTATATAGTCTTGACACGAAGTTGTCTGCATATAAATCCTAGACAATTTCATCATGGACATATATAAATGGTTACATTATTTCGTAAGATGTTTAGATGTCTGGCGTTCAACTTTCCTAAGTAGTAAAAGTGAAAGGGGTAGGGAGGTAATTTGACATAATACTAACTTGTTATATGTTCGGTCAGCTATCTACATAAAGTTTTGTAATTGATAAATGTTAAGAAACTGGGAAATAACCGTTTGAAAAAACAACAAAACCAGATCAAATACAAAACTACTTTGGCAAATTAATATGGATCCGTCAAATAAAGAACATCGAAATAAGATGTTAATAATACTAACTAAACAATGCAAGATGTTAATAATACTAACTAAACAACTGTATGTCTATATAAAGTGTTAATTATACAAACTAAGCATTAATACAGAGCGATATTTAATCAAAATGAATCTTACAAATAGAATCAGTCATTTAGTTGTGGCATACGTGATACTTGGCTGACAAGGCATATTTTTCCCGTAGTATGTTGCCATCAAGGGCTATAGAACTCGGTCTGTCTTGCTATTTACCCATAGCTGGGGTGAGAAGAAAAGGATTCATACCTTTCCCAAGGGTATTAGCACGTAAGTGAATGTAATGGATTCGACTGGAATTCGTAATCGGCTCTCCGATTCCTCACTGCGAGCCGTTATCCATTATTCCACCGGAATGCTTAAATAGAA